TGCTCGGCTTGAATGCATTATGTGAAACAACGCTTCACGAAGCTTTTTCATCCGCCAGCAGTAAATCAGTGGATTGAGGAGAGAACAGAGATAAACAGAAGCGAAGGACCACGCTGCTGATATGTACAACACATACGGTTCCACTAAATCGTCTAAGAAAGTTGCGCATACATAAAGTACGATTACAGGGAGATAGGACAATAACAGCGCCCTTAAAATGATTGTCAGGGTGTTAGCTGCCTTGTGGTTCGTTTTAAGGCGCTTGACTTCTTCGTCAGGTAACTGCTCACTTTGTAGACGGGGTTTCTGTTTTATGGCTTCTAAGAAGACAGCTGTATGGGAGAAGACGATGGCAGCAATGTAAACAACAAGAACAAATAGGAACGGTAAATCTGTTGCTAGCAGCAGCATTGAATAGAAATCTAATTCAGTGTTTATGAAGGCCTGAAAATTTATAACAATTATCTCAAATGCTGAAATAGCCCAGGCCGTCAGTGCGCCAGCTATAACTCTCTTCTCTGTTACGATGTCGTCATATCTGAGGGGAAGCTTTACGAAAACGTAGCGTTCAACGTTGATCAACGCAAGATGGCCAATTGATGCCAAACTAATTCCTAATGCGATCATCACTGTTACTGTATCGAACGTTCAAAACGGCCCGAGACAAAGGATGTGCTTAATTTCTGACGCCACGGACAAAGGTTGCACGAGCATGCCAACCAGAAAATCTGTTCCCGCCAAAGACGCCAGGAGAATGTTGTAGGGAGTTCTCAGCGGCTGTTTCGTCGTTAGGACGATGATGACCAGTGCATTTAAAAGCATAGCTATGATGGCTGCAACAGAATTGATGCAGATAACAGCAACCAGATTGTTGTGGATACCATCCGCTAAGTATCTTGACTGCCAAGCAGAGAAGGACAGGTTTTCGCAGGTTTCTACTGACTGGTTGGCCTTTGACTGACTCGTTTTTGGCATTTTTAGGAAACGGGTTTTGGATACCCCTTATCTGAGATCGGACGGTGTGAAAATTCTAGTCAGGCAAGTTTTCCTACGTGCAACAACCTTTCCTCGTGTTATATCATCGTTAGCTTTAAAGTTTGCCTCTGGTATTGCAAGTTACGTGTGTGCTGCAGTGTCTATCGCTTAAATCGCTTCTGAAGCTTCCTCTTACTTTCGTCGGCATTTCTTGAATTCGAGTAAATCGTCTTAAGTCTATCTGTAAAATTATCTCTTAAATAAATCTGTGCGTGCGTGGCAAAAATAAGTGTAGCCTTACCTGTGTCATTAGAAAGCAGGTCAATGAACCTCCCTTATAATAGCGCACATAATTATTATTTTATAATTTAGTTGCAAATCAGCCTTACTCGCGTTTAAATGAAAACTATGTTGGTTCTTAAAAGTGTTTTCAAGTTCTGAGCGGCTTATTTCCATAAAATTTAAAAGAAAGGCAATTAAGCCGCCATTTATTTTTTCATGATCTGAGAACGCAACCATTTTTTGCTATTTTTAACGAAAGAGTTTTTTTGTATTTGTTTATCTGTTTAGCCATATACTCACCATTGGCTTCGCAGAATCACAGCTGCTTTTTCCCACGAATCGTTTGACTTCGATTAAAACGAGTGGTACTGCTTTAATGAACTTTTATTTCGGACTCCAATAAATGGCAGACAGCTTTATCAATTAATTTGAAAATTTACGTTTCTTCAAAGAACGAATTTCCAAGCCAACAAAAGGAAAAAAGGAGATCTAAATATGCTGAAATTGATATGCAGGAGCTTTTGGATTAACGTGATCTTGAATCAGCCATAAAGAAAAATACATGGGTTAAGAGTAATCTTTCTTTCCCCTCTATTGCAGGATTTAAAATATTGATTAGAAGCAAATCAGTAAATAGAACAAGTACCGATATTCCTTTATACATCTTTCTGTAACAGGAATAACAGCTGTGGTCTTTTTCTTGTGGGTGCACGCATTCTCATGTCCGTATAGTTATGAAAACAAGTTAATAACATAATGAAGATCAATAACTTAACTTTCCGACATAATTTTAATGGCGAAACCGAACGTCGAAGAAAATACCTCTGAGTTACCTCGGTACACTTGTGCTAGAGATAGTTGACGTAAACCTACGATTAAATATTAGCCAGTAGGTTGCAAAGGGGGCTCCTGATCCTGTTTCACACGTTACGTGTAGTTAATCATTATTTCGCTTGTCATGAATTGAAAACAGGGGGTGTGTGGCCTACGACCGCGGTGCATTATTTTTACACATTTCCAACCTGGTGGTATTACCAAGTGATTGCTGCGTTCCGAAGAGGAAAATTCAAGTCCATTTTTCCCTAATGCTAAGCTATACAGAATAGAAAAACGGGGAATTGGAAGATAAACCCTTCCACAATAACTCGAAGCTATTGATTTCTGGATTTACAATTTATATTTTCGTATTTTGTAGCACGAATGAGAGGTCCTATTTACGAGGATGCAAATCCTCGTGAATCGCAC